CAGGACCATTCACCATCACATCCCCGTGATTCACTGCGCCCTCCCTCGCCCGTCCCCCCCACAGAGGTTACCATTGGAGCTGCTCTTGCAGTGGCGCTGCCCCAGCTCGCCTCGTGCTTCGCCCCCCTGCCTGTGCGCGGCATGCCCCAAATGCCCGCTGCTGCTCAGGGCAGTGCAGCGGCGGATGATGGGGCAATTGGAGGGGAGAGGGACGAAGGAGAAGAGAGCAGTGAGCGAGAGCAGCAAGGCGCAGGGAGGGAGCTTGTAAATGATCAGCAAGGGCAGGTGGTGCAGCGAGCAGCAGAGGGGGAGGCTAGGGCTGCTGCTGCCAGTGCTCCAGGTAATGGTGGTGTGAGTGGCGATGGTGATGGCAACAGCAGTGGCGGTGAGGTGTGCTCGTGTGTGGTGGTGTGTCAGGGTGTGGTCATCCCTCCTCACACGCCCCTCTCATGGCTCGCACACAACATGCTTGCCCCTGACCTCTTTCTACACATCTGCCTGCTGCTGCCATAGCCGCACCTGTACAGTTATATTATGCGGTTACTCGTCAAGCTCCAAAATGGGCCAACAGTAGTGAAGAGTTTGTTGTCGATAATTCTGGATCAATATGTATTGCCATACACCAATGTTGCGTATGACATGAAGCCTGATTTTGTCAGAGTCATATGTTTTGTCTCAAAGTGGATACTATCAGTAGCAGTTACAAATAGCAATCTAAATTAATGAAATTGTTAGATAATGCATGGTACAGATAACTGTATATTTTTCCGCATTTGAAAAGGAATTACTTTTGTGTCAATGCTACCTTCCCCAGTTCGGACATTTAACGTGCTTTCGTCATTCTGACGTCACATTCCTTGGGCCCAGGATTCCAGTGTTGCCCGTTGCGCATAAAGCTGCCCACCCCCTTGCTTCACTCTTTCAATTGTGTTCCTAGGCATGGCATTGGCACCATGTGAATATTGGACACCTCGCTCACCCCTCGCTCCACCCCCACTCCTGAACTGCGCCCGTCGCACCGTGTCATCGTGACTGACCCCTTGCGATCCCGCGCCATGGATTACGCCGACGCCGACGTGTGCGTCGACGCGCTCTTCGACTTCCCCCTCGATCCCTTTCCCCCCAGTGCGTTTCTCCTCGACTCAACTCCCTTAGACGCGTCTCTCTTCGATTCGTGTTCCGGAGCCTTCCCCAGCGACCATCACCATCAACATCACCAATTCCCGTCCCGCGATTCCTTCTCCGCCGACCAGCCCATTCCCCACGCCGTCGCCGCTCCCCTCTCGCCCGTCGCCGCTCCCTGCTCGCTCGTGCGCCACCCGTGCCCGTCGCAGCAGCTGCACCCGCCGCCCGCTCTCACCGCGGCATCCGCCTTGTCCCTCCCCCGGGGCCCCGCCTCCCTCATTTCCGCCGCGGCCCTTCCCCAGACATTCGTGTGCGCCAGCAGCAACGGCAGCGGGGGCGCGGGAGGACGGGAGCAGTCGGGGGAAGGCGGGAATGGTGCGGAACAGTTCGAGCAGCCACCCCGCGGCGCAGCGGCGCCGCTGCACGGCGGCGTCGTGCCGCCGCCCGCGATGGCCTCCGCCAATTCGGACGCGCACAGCTACGCGCGCGCAGCTGCTCCGCGCGGGAACGCTTGCCGACCCGCGGACCTGACGGGGCGACTGGCGGCGGTGCTCAAGGGACTGGCGGAGGGCGCGCGCGACGGGAACAGACGCGCGGCGGAACTTACGCGAAGTGACGGGCGGGACGGGGCGGAGGTGCGGGGAGACGCATGGGGGGCGACGGGGGCAAAGAGGGACGTGGATGGGCGGCGGGGCTGGCGTGAGGCGCGGAACGGCGAGGGAGAGGGGGAGCGGCGGAAGAGGACGTGCGTGGGGAGCACGGGGAGAGAGGGCGAGCAGAATGGAGGTGCGCGCGTGGGCGGGGCGGCGGTGGTGTGCGCAGCGCAAGGGGGGGTAGCAGCAGCAGTGGCGGCGGTGGAGGCGGAGGCAGCAGGTATGGCGGAACAGGCAGCGGCGCTGGCAGGCGCAGCAGCACAGGAGGGCGTGGCGCTGCTGGCACACGCTCAGGCGGTGGCAGCAGAGGGACGGGCAGTGCACAGACGGGGAGAGGGAGAGTCAGGGCAGACGGGGCGGTCAGCGCGGGAGCCTCGTGAGGAGGAGCAGCAAGAGGGCATGCGGGGCGAGACGGCGCTGAGTCTCGCGCACACACGAAGCGCAGCAGCAGCAGCAGTGGGGGGGGAAACAACTGCACTGTGGTTCACTCCGCCCTTGTCCCGGCGCCTGCAGGTGTCGTGGGCGGGTGATGGCGTGGCAGCGGGCATGATGGGGGGCGCGCAGCAGGAGGCGGAGGCAGTGCGCGTGAGGAACCTGGTGATGGCACTGGGGGAGGCGCACGCCACTCAGGACACTGTGAGTGCTGACACATTGTGAGTGGCACACACCGTGTGCGCTCGCACAACACACACTCCCACAAACGCCGCACCGCACATGTGCCACACTCTCGCACCTGCCCCTCTGCACATGCCACGTCAGCTTCGCTTCCACGTTGTCAAAGCACACTCAATTTCGTAAATGCTAGCGTCCATACAAAATCCGCTTGAAAACGGAAGCAGCTGTGAGAAACGGAAGGGACATCCAGATCCCCCAGTTCCTTAGGGGTAAAAGGGGGATGGGAACGATATGGAGGATGAGAGGGAGGACGAGGTGGTGGACTTTGAGAGGGGAGAGTGGGCTTGGGGGGCATTGGGTGCAGCGGAAGAGAAGGGATTAGGAGATAAGAGGTGCCCTTCTTCCCCTTTCACTCCCCCCCCCCTCGCCCAAAGAAACCTGCCCGTTTTTTTTTAGCAGCCCGTTCCATCATTTGTTGATGTATTTTTAGAACAACTACCCAACACATTGCATATATGCGCCAACTTATAATATGCTGGCATATAATACGAGATTCGCATCATCCAATGACTAAGACCACTCGCCACCTCTCGCCCTCTCTTGTCCACCTGCCGGCGCCCTCTCCCCTCCCCCCCAATCAGCTGCGGTTGCGCTGTTTCACACGGCGCCTGCAGCAGCAGGCGAGCGCACAGGGGACGGCCGCACAGCGCGTGGCATGGCTGTTCCTGGCCGCCCTGCATGCTCGCTCCCAGGGCTGTGCTGCTGTCACATGGCTAGACCCCGTGGTCGTGGATGGACAGGTGCGCACGCATGCACCCATGCTCCCATGCACCCATGAATGCACACACGCACCCAGGGTGCACACAGGAATTGGGAGGCCGGGCATGGAGGCAGCATGGGCAGAGGACAGGACACTGGCCGGGGTGTGTAGGACACTGGTGGGATGGTAGGAGCTTGCTGGGAGTTTCTGAAGGTTATCATGAACACCGTACATGTCGCACCACATTGCGCCGCCACCGCCACTGTATCACTCCTTTCCCCTTCCCACCGCCTTCTCTGCCCTTGTCTCTGCCAAATCCCTCCCCCTTTAATCCCTCCTCCCTCGCATACCCTGCGAGGACAGGCACTGGCGCAGGCGCCACCGACGTACGGGCCGGTGGAGTGGGCGCTGTACAGCTTCGTGAATGTCGCTGCTGCCACCGAGCTCTCCCTCGCTCTCTCGCGCGCGTGGGGCGACGCAGGCGCGCAGAAGGGCGTGGGGCCCGTGGGGGCCATGGGTGACTGTGGTACGGTGGGTGGCGAGGGTGGTCGGGAAGCATCCATACTGCTGGATGCAGGCAGCAGCAGCAGCAGCAGCAGCAGCGGCAGCGGCAGCGGCAGCGGCAGCAGCAGCAAGCGGCATGTGCACATCATAGTGTTCGGCTGCCCGGACGTGTCCCAGTGGGTATCCCTGCTGCACCGCATCTCCATGGAACACTCCCCACCCACCACCACCTCACCACACTCCTCCCCCTCCGCACCATCACATGCAGCCCCCCCCACCCCCCATGTCCACGTGCATGTGACGTGCATAGACCTGGAGGTGGTGCGCATGGCGGGCATGGCAGCCGGGCAGCTGCAGCAGGTGGGGCAGGTGCTGGCGGGCATAGCGGACATGGTGGGGTTAGGGTTCTCCTTCCACGCCCTCCACGTGCACGCCCACGAGTTCTCCCCCCACATGGTGCACGCTGGGCGACGCCACAGGCGGCCACCAGGGACCATGGGGACTGGGGGAGTGGCAGAGGAGGGTTGTGGATCGAGAGAAGGGGCGTGTGTGGAGGACAGTGCTGGGGAGAGGAGTGCGGAGGAGGGGAAGGAAGAGGGGGAGGAGGACGTGTTGGTGTGTTGCTGTTGGAGCATGATGGCGTTTCCAGATGCCACGGTGCTGAGGAGCAATCCCAGGGATGCCATCATCAAAGTGAGCACCACCACAGCGCCTCTTCCTTCCACCATTCTTCTTGCAACATGCTACTCCACAAGAGCTTCAGGCTTGACCTGCTGCTTCTCCACCACTCGCAGCCATCTCAACTCGCTCGTCACTGCTGTGTAACCCACACCTTGTCCCTTTTCTCCCACTCCCTGCTCCACTCCCTCACCCCCTCACCCCGACCCCCAACACCCCCCGTGCAGTGGATGCACAGCCTGCGGCCGCGCCTGGTACTACTGTCGGAGCTGGACGCGCGCCTCAACACGCCCTTCTTCCTCGCGCGCTTCCATGAGGCGCTGCGCTTCTTCCCCGCCTTCCTCGACGCGCTCTACCACACCGTGCCGCCCGCCTCGCCACTGCGCGCGCTGCTGCAGGGCATGCTGCTGCGCAAGCTGGTCAATTGTGTGGGGTGCGAGGGCGCGCAGAGAGTGGTGCGGCCCGAGAGCATGGAGCAGTGGCAGGAGCGCATGGAGCGCCTGGGGTTTGAGCGCGTGGCGCTGAGTGACGAGACGGTAGGGAACATGCGCACGCTCACAGAGTGCAAGGATGGGCGGTTTGGGATTCAGGATGCACGTGGGGCTGCTCGGCTCACATGGAAGGGAAGCCCTATTATGGCTGTCGGTGCATGGAGGGCTGTGTGAATGTTTAGAGCCCAGAATCAAAGCTGTGGTGCACATTCAAGGCAGACACAATTAGGGGGATGTCAAGGAAGAAGGAAGAGTGCGCCAAAAGGGAAGCAGTAACGAGTCTGATACTCCAAATCATCATAGAACTAAGTATTTCCCCGTGCGGGTATGTGTTGAGAAGCCAACTGGGCAACAGATCAACTGTCACCTGCAACAAGAATAAACAATCCATGCAGTGACTACGATACATGAATTACATGTCCATGGTATCATTATAAGTACATGGAATTGCTGCACAAGTGCTCACTTATCTCGTCGATGCTATCCCCCTCCACCTACCGGTGTCTCACATCCTCTTCTTCACCGCAAGCCCTTCTTCTCTCCATCCTTTGAGGAGCCCCTCAACCAGTCACTTGATTGAAGCTCTTTCGCCGTCTCATTGTACGCATCTCATGAGAAGATGACCACATGTGAAGAAGCTCGTGCAGCTGGCTTAGATCTGTGGGGCGATCCGACACTCGGTGCTGGGAGTGGTCATGGTGAAGTTGTTGCCGTTTCTGAAGTGCAGCTCGGGCATACACGAGCGGAAGGGGTGCGTGTTAGAATCTAGTGAGAAAGATGATCGATTAGGTAAGGGGGGGGATACAAGAGTGTCGAGAAATGTTGTGTACCCTCTAAGGATAACCCCTACATAGCCTAGAAATATAGAAAGCAGACAATGTATTGACACACCCCCATAGCTGAAGTAGGGGAAAGCCAAACAAAACAGTGGTCACAAGACCAATCAGGAGAAGCAAACAACGCAAAGCCCAGGGTGGATATCAAGATCATCACGCAGTCTGAGCACAAGCAAGCGGCCACAAGGCTAGCTCACATGCAGAGTTATAAAAACACAAGCAGTACAGTCATCACAACATAGCAAGAGCAATCACCCAAGTATATATATAGAGACCACAGTACAAGGCAAGTCAAGCAACCAGCAGGTGAGGCAGAGTGGGCAGAAGCCCAAGAGCAGTGCAAAAACGCTGATGATCACCAGACCCAAGGGCCTTGGTGAAGACATCAGCAGTGTTGGCCCGAGAGGCCACGTAGGAAAGGCGGAGCTGACCACGCTGCTGCAGCTCTCGAGCAAGAAATTAGCGAAGAGCAATGTGCTTCGTTCTGTGCTCCAGTCTCTGCTCCTAACATAAGGCAAGCATGGCCTTGTTGTCAACGTACAGGATTGGAGGAGAACGAGGCTGCTCCCCCAAGTCGGTCAGCAGGTAAGTCAGCCAGCGTAGCTCCTGTGTAGCCATAGCCCCAGCCAGGCCCCTAGATTGGTTTTGGGGTAGGCTGAAAAATCAGAGTTCACTGGTAAATTTACGCTGAAAATCAGCCAAAAATGCCATTTTCATTAAAAGTCACTAGAAAATCACCAAGTTTTTAGGGAAAAGGCTGACAAATCAGCCTTGGTACAGAAAAAAAAGGCTGAATCAGCGTGGAAAGGCTGAAATCTAGGGGTCTGGCCCCAGCGAGGCCATCTCGGCCTCACAGCTGGAACCAAGCACAAAAGAAGAACGAGTGGACCTCCACAAGACAGAACCAGAGCCAAGACTGAAGGTGTAACCCTGTGATGAACGTATCAAACTATGAAAGAGTTGGGTACAAGTACTAACCCTAATTGGGTTGTACCCCTTATGGGCTACCCCCAGCATGTTTTGCTGCTTCCACTATGTTCATTATGCTCATCTTCCCAGTGCTTCACCCTTTCCATTTTGTGTTTCCCTCATGTTAGCCCCGGAAAGTTTCACCATGAGCACATGGCATAAAGAAAAGAACATTCTACAATTTAGCACCCCCGTGTTCATTGATGCCATCACGACGTCGTTCACTCGCTCAACGTCTCCAACTATCGTCCTCCAAGCGAAGCTGTTGGCTTTTTGGATGCATGGGGTAAGTATCAATCCTAATGCCTTTCTGCGTGTACCAAAGCACCATGAATCTAAACCCTGATTTTTTCTAATCCATGCTACAGATTGAGCATCGAGTGCTCAAGGAGAATCAAGACAAATCCAAGAGCTCAAACACTAACCGGAACCAAGTCGAAGTCTACTATTGCAATATTCGCAATTGGATGAGGTCGCTGATTGCAACACACACACAAGTGTCGAAGTACTGAACGAGAATGAATGAACTATGAAAGAGTTGGGTACAATTACTAACCCTAATTGGGTTGTACCCCTTATGGGCTACCCCACTATAGCCTACACAAAGTAAGCACTATAACATTCTGACACACCCCCATAGGCCAAGTGGGGGAGAACAAGTGGTCACAAGACCAGTCAAGAAAAGCAAAGCAAGCTCGGGGTGGATCACGAAGTCACCACACATTTCGAGCACAAACAAATGGCCACAAGGCCAGTTCACATGCAGAGTTATATAAAAGAGAACAAACAATACAGTGATCATCCCCTAGCAAGTGTAAGCATGCAGGTACATATATAGGTTACAGTACAAGCAAAGTCACGCAGTGAGCAACAGAGGAAAAGTAGGCATAAGGCCTAAAACAGTACAGAAACGCTGATGATCACCAGACTGAAGTGCCTTGGTGAATATATCAGCAGTGTTGGCCCAACACGTAAGCAAGACGAAGCTGACCACACTGCTGCAACTCTCGAGCAAGGAAGTATCGCAGAGCGATGTGCTTCGTTCTGTGCTCCAGTCTGTGCTTCTGACACAATGCAATCATGGCCTTGTTGTGTACGTACAGAACTGGAGAAGAACGAGGCCGCTCTCCCAAGACGATCAGCAGGTAGATGAGCCGGCGTAACTCCTGTGCAGCCATGGCCCCTGTGTAGATCTCAGCCTCACAACTGGAAATGAGAACAGAAGACGAGCGAGTAGACCGCCAAGAAACAGAGCCGGAGCTAAGGCTGAAGGTGTAACCCTGTGACGACCGCTGCGTAGCCAAGTCGTCAACCCAAGAAGCGTCTACGTGTCCAGTGAGAACAACTGGACCCCGTCCTCCAAGAACGAGCCCCATGCCCGAAGTACTGCACAAGTAGTGCAACACCCTCTTAGCGGCCTCCCAGTGCTCTGGTCGGTGTCTCCCCGGCGCAACGTAGCGTGCCAGGATGCTAAGAGGTAGGCAAGGTCAGGTCGAATGCAGGTCATTAGGTACATGAGGCAGCCCACAAGCTCTGGATACGGGCCACTCGGCTCTACGGACTCGTCCGAAGGTGGAGCTGAGAGCGAGTGACCGGTAGGCAGAGGAGTGGACTGTGGCGAGGAGTACCGGAAGCCGAAGCGCTGAAGGACCTGGTGCACCATGTGTGACTGAGTCATGGTGATGGTGCGCCGTGCTCTGTCTCGGGTGATCTGCAAGTCAAGATAGCTGCGCAGCTCACCCAGGTCAGTGCACGTGTGTCTCTTCTACAGCTCCGACTTCACTAGGGCCAGTGCCTCAGTGTCAGCAGTGGCAAAGACCAAGTCGTCGACGTACACGAGGACGTTGAACGACGGCAGCGAAGTGTCGGTGCGCAGAAACAGCGAAGGGTCAGCTGTCGAAGGAGCAAACCCAAGAGCCGCAAGCGTCATCCTCAGTGTGTCGTGCCACTCGCGAGGCGCCTGTCGGAGACCATAGACTGGCCGTCGGAGGCTCCACTGGGTACCTGCACGAAATGACCCAGTGAAGCCAGGTGGGCGGCGCAGCCAGATCTCCTCGTGCAGGCTACCCTGTAGGAAAGCTGTGTTGAAGTCAAGAGAGTGCAGCTCGTAGTCACGCTGAGCGGCGACGTGCAGCAGAACCTGAAGAGTGGTCATCTTCGGGGTAGGGGAGAAGGTCTGGAAGAAGTCAACTCTTTGTTGCTGACTAAAGCCTCGTGCAACGTAACGAGCCTTAAAAGACAGGCGGAGAACCCGGTGGCTGCTTCACCCTGAAAATCCACATGCCATCGACTATGTTCGCCCCTGAAGGGGGAACTGCATTCACGTAGGTGCCTGTGGACTTCCAGGATGCCATCTCTGCGTCCATGGCTGTCTGCCACTGAGACGAGTAGGGACCCGTAATTGCCTCTGCGTAAGAGCGCGGGGTCGGGATGTCTGGTGCATCCGGGTCTCCCTAAGGTGCAAGCAGCCTGGCCACGAGATGAGGTACAGCAGCTGCAAGACACTCAAAGTCCTCCCGCCTGTCCTCAAGGACGTCCGTGCCAAGAGCACACTCACCCCCGACGGACGGAGGACAGTCAGACTCAGCCTTAGCAACAAGACTAGTGGCGTAGTCGAGACGACAAGCAGCAGCAAAGTCAACAAGCTCAGCAACTAGGGCAGACGCAGCAGAGGACTCAAACGAAGGGTCAGTGACAACAGTGGCTAGAAGACAAGAGATAGTGGGACTGGCAGCACGAGCTAGGTGAGACTTAAGGTCAGGACGAGAGGACTCAGGAGGAGGGTGCAGAGGAACACGTAGTGGAACAGAGGAAGGACGAAGTGTCATAACGTGAGTGCCGGGGACAAGAGGAGGACGCGGACAAGGAACCCGACAACCAATGCAAACAGCGCTAACAGGCGAGGCGGGACGAGACTCAGGCTGACGACGCTCTTAAAAGAGTCTGTCTGCTCAGTGTAAGGAGAAGGAGCAGGCAGTGGGGAGTCTGGCCGTAACTTTGGCTGCGACTTGCGAGGTGGTGGACTCAGTAAGCTTGGAGGAAGGCCAGGAGAAGACGGGAGTCTAAGAACCTGGCAAGGGACTGAGTCAGGTGGCGGCAGAGACGACGGTGGCGGCGGAACGAAAAACGGGCACCGCTGCACAGTGCCTCCAGCACGAGTACTGCCAGACAAAGCACCCCCAGCGCCAGCACCTCCAGCTCCAGGGTCAACAGCTCCAGTGCCTGCAGCTCCAGCGCCCCCAGCGCCAGTGCCTCCAGCTTCAACGCCTCGAGCGCCAGGGTCTCCAGCTCCAGCTCCTCCAGCTCCAGCGCCGCCAGCGCCAGTGCCTCCAGGTCCAGTGCCTCCAGCTCCAGCGCCTCCAGCGCCAG